CATATGGGAGGTCAACGCCCTGGGAAGATGGCAGCTCTCCAACTAGCTGTGGTGAAGACTCTGGAACTATGGATTTCTCTTTAAGTAGAGTCCCTGCATCAGATGACTTGGATGAAGCAGCTTCAACAGGGGCTGCTAGAGCCAGAACCTTGGATGGGGAAATTGAACTTTTCTGAAAGTTCAAGTAAAACATTAGCCTATGAAAAATTATTTTGTGCATAAATAAACAGGCTCAAATACCTTTCTCCTGACGACGAAATGAGCATCATCATCATCATATGGAAAAACTGGTGAAGATGGGGCTGGCCATTTACGGTTGAAAGCACCTATGCATGCACTAGCTCGAGCAGGAGGGGAAGAGATGGAAGGGCCAAATGTTTAGTGCGAACAGGTGAATAAGGGTTCCTGATAGACACAGGGGTGGCCAAAATAAGAGAAGTAGAGGAAGCCTCTGGCCAATCCAGTGAATGGAAGACACGATTAGCATCAGTAGTGAAAAGCCCGCGTCTCACTGATGGCCAACGTTGATCAAAGAGCGGATGAGTGACAGTAGTGAGATTGAAAGGAGCCAAAGAAAGATCTTTGGCCAAAAGAATATTATGAGCATCAATGGCTTGTGCCTCGATTTTATTATAGTATGGAAATGCTCTGTTAAATTTCTAGAATAACATGGAGGAATAGACCACGTTTGGCCAAAATCAAGAGGCGAGCAAAAAATTGGGGAGCATATATCTCAACATCTGCCTTGGCATTTGTTCCAGTTACTATGTCATGGAACAGTTCTCTCCCAATCAAGAATTGTGCCCAAATGCACAAGAAAGTCCTCACTTCAGCCAGAGTAGAAGGAGGTCGCACATAAATAGGAACTTGGTGAGTAGAAAAAAGAAAAAAAGAAGGCGTTGAATTTAAATTGTAAAAGAATGTGAAAACGTTCCTATTAGACATATTTACAAGGCTTAATTAATAGATGAATAGCCCAAACAATTGAGCAATCGAGGAGGGGATGGTGGAGTACCAAGCTGTGAAAAATATGCTCTCAACCACAATTGGGCGAGCCAAAGGGTTCCACTGCCAATGGGAGACGCACCATTCTTTAATTGAAATTAAAGGGAAGACATGCCTCTATAAAAGCCGGCTAAAAAGAATGAACATAAATTCAAAGACCTGCCACGCGCCAACAGATGCGCTATGGACAGATAACTCATGAAAGGTTTCAGGCTGGGGACACAAAGAACATATTTACAAAGCCAGACCTGAAGAAAGGCCACACGCTCAACGTGAGAAGGCTCAGAACTTGAAGCAGTATAAAGGCCTTGGGGCAACACCGGTAATCAAAATGTCAGGAAAAATGGTGTCGCCCATAGGTGGAAGGTTTACTAGGGCTCCAACATCCCTCAGAGTAATAGACATTGGACCAATGGGAAAAATGAAAGTATTGTACTCAGAAGACTAAAAACTCAGAGCAATAGGGAAAATCACTAGGTCCTAAATTGGGGGATGGAGAGTAATTTCTAATAAGTCTGAAATTTTAGCACGATCAAAAATTGTTTTGGTGGGGTCGTAATTTACCATACGTGCATGCCATCTACGAAAACTACCATCAGTTTTAGGCTAAGTGCGAATACCTTTTTTCGCGGATTGGCTTCAACGGTAGAGAGTTCAGGAAATTAGGGTTTTTAGTGTAAGGGAACAGCTGACCCACCGTCGCTTGCCCAATAGATTCAGTATCATTAAACGACGTACCTAGGTAGAATTCATCACGGTCAGGGTGGGCTTGCAAAAGAAGTTTTGGATTTACATATGGTCTGGTAAGGAGGTTTTGGAAATCCTCGAAATTGAGGGAGTTATCAAAAGGAGTCTGTGAAGTCGCCATGTGCAATGAAATGCGGTAGTTGTGGAGATTTCTTGATAAACGTAGCAAGGAAGCAAGATAATGAACATTGACCTTATAGAGAAACACGATGTAAAGACGTGAATAAAGTGGAGCGACGAAGTGGCGTGTCTTTTAAGTTATATGGGTGTAACGTTACATTTTTATTTCAGGTTGTATGAGGGTTACCGCTAAACGGAAATAATGATTGAAATTATCTGCCCTTTTGAGGAATTTCAAGTATTTTCGGAAAATACAAATGAAAAATATGACAAAAATTAATAATCGATATTAATTATGTCATATTGGGGAGGGGGGGGGGGATAATTGTTGATATACAAAAAATAAAGCTCAATTAAATGGTCCAGGAATTGTAGCCCAGTTAGAAAGTTCAAGTTATAGGCCCAAATGAGACAATTGCAGAATATATTGGAGGCCCATAAATAAAGTATTATCATCGTCCAAACCTGCAGGACGCCCATGATCTGAGCGAATGAAGTGTCTTACTGTCGCCCAGAGCGAGGATCCCAGTCTCGCCCAAACCTCCAAGTCGCTCAAGATTTGAGCAAGTATGATGTCTTGTGTTACTTAAAACGACGGTTATCGAAGCGGTTATGGAGCAACCTTATCACACCCTATGATTCAAGAATTTCGGTTACAAGTGGTTAAACAACATGGGTCTTTATACATTTTTAGGTCATTTGCTTATTTTATATAAATAACCTATATGAAACTGTTGAAAATGCTCATTTTGCCCAAACAATTAGGGAAATTTGCAATATAGGTCCCAAATCTTTCAAAATTGTACAATTGGATTCTAAACCTTTAAATTATAGTAATTACATCCCGAATCTTTTAAGATCGTACGATAGAAGGTCATCTGGACAATATCCATTCAAAAATCTGTTAATTGACGAAAATTTAAGCATTTAATCATAATTTGACCAATTTTACAATGTTCAAAATGATCTCATAACATTTTATTAATTAAGAAAGGGGCAATTTGCAACGGATGTAGCAGATCTTTCAAAAATGTATAGCACGTTCTCGAATATTTAATAAATGTGCACCGAAAGGATTTCTAACGATTTTCATCTCAAAAATCAATCAGTTGATCAAAAGTCAATCAAATTACCATAATTTGACCAATTTTAAAATGAAAAAACAAAAAAAAAAAATTTAACATTTAATTAATTAAAAAAATTTGATGAAAATTTATGATCAAACATATATTGACCCAAAGTACAACGAAATCCCACAAAACATAGCATTGGCCTTTTTTTTTTTCTTTTTTCATTTTTTATGCTTTAACTCTACTTTATACTTTCACGAAATAAATTTGAGTTATATTTTCCCCCTAAATTTCTACTTTTTGTAGGATTTGTTTGAATCTTATTTTTTGAGAAAATATATTTTATAATAGTGCTTCTTTTTTTTTTTTTTTTGAAAAATTTGAGATTAAAAAATTAGGAAAAAGTTGAATTTACGTATAAAATTATATTATGCTGCGTTTGATACACCATATTTTCTATGGAATTATTTCCATTTTCCAACTTTTGTAGTGTTTGATAGGCAAAATTTTCCCAGAAAAATGTTTTTCAACTTTCCAAATTTTCCACCTTTTTGATGAAAATAAATTCTTAATGTTTTGGTTGGTAAATATTTTTCAAGCTTTTTTTTGGCAAATTGAAAAAAATTATAGACACAATGGTAAAAAAAAAAAAACAATTTCAATTCAAAACAAAGCCAAACGAATGATATTCGGTATGATAATTTTTTTTCATTTTTTTTTGGGCAATTGAAACAAATTCTAGACCCAATGGTAGAAAAAATATCACTTTAATCAACAATTTTCATAAAAAACGAAGCCAAACAGACACCAAACTTTCAACATTTTTCATGAAAAATTATACCAATTAAACACAATTAATTATAATTCCCAATAAAACAATTTTTAAGCAAATCAATTCCTTGTAAAACATTTTCTTTCCACCAATTTTCCACATTTGTAATCAAACGGACCTTATTGAGAGAACGTGCGATTAAAAATAAATTTTTACAAAATGAATTCCAACAAGGACTTAGCCCCAACTTGATAATCATTATTTTAAAGCTCTTTTTCAATCACACATTCATAATTTTGTACGTAAAATTTTTTCTTACTTTTTAATCATATATTCTTTTAAAAATCACTATACAAAATATTATTTTTCTAAAATAATGGTTATCAAATAGGAGGTTTGTTTCATTAATAAAAAATTGTCTACATTTGATTATACACAACACTTTCATTTTAAGCATTCATTGCTGCCCTCTTTCCAATTTTCCATCAATTTTCTATTAGGTCATGTTTGATAGGTCATATTTTTCGGGGAAGTAGGAAAATATTTTCCACTTTCCACTTTTTTGACTGTTTGATAGGCGAAATTTTCTATGAAAAATATTTTCCGAATTTTTCCCACACGTGTGCAATTTCCGGGTTTTTGATGAAAATGTTTTCCCGCATTTTTGGTGGGAAAATATTTTCCCGGTTGGCTGAAAATTTTTTTTTTTTGACAATGGAAACAAATGTCATAACTAATGGTAAATTTTTTTTCACTTTAATGGACAATTTTCATGTAAAACAAAGTCAAACGAACACTAAACTTTGATTAAAAAAATGATTTTTTAGGAAACAATTTTTTTCCCCTTTTTTTANAATTTTATAACCAATTGTGAAAAAAAATATCACTTTAATGGACAATTTCCATATAAAACAAAGTCAAACGAATAAAAAATTTAAAAATTTTTCGGGTGGAAAATTATACCAATCAAACACACTTGAAATCATTTTTCTTGCAAAATATTTTCTAGACAAATCTTTTCCTTGTAAAATATTTTCTTTTCACTCATTTTCCATCCTTGCAATCAAACCCACATTTAGATTAATTTTTGCGGTTCCGGCAATTCGACTAAAATCGTGTGGAATATACCATTCAAGACCGCAAAAACGTTGTTTCGGCTTTGACAATGCCTCACTCATTCACAGTTGACCAAGGAAAAATCGCTTAGTAGCAGAAGTGTATCACAAGGAAGAATGAGAGGAATTGCAGAGGAAAATCGGAGGTCTTTAAGCAATTAATCGGAGAATATGGAATTGGATAGCGACGACAGGGAGCTGAAAGCCGCCGGAGCAGAGCTACTCGACGGCGGCCGCTTTGGACTTAGCATTCGCGGTTGGGAAATAGAATCTCGGAAGCTTCCAATTCTCAACTCTTCACTTCTCCAACAGTATATTCTCTTCGAGTTTTGCTACACAAACATAATGCTTGAGAATGACACAATACACATATGGGGAGGTCTAACATTATTTAATTCAGGTCGGGATCACATGCAATGTGAGAAGTTGGTCAACCTTTATGTCAAGCATTATGTTCATTTAGCTTAATTCATTCTCTCCTCCCCTCATTTACTTCTTTGCGCAAATTTGTATTGTTTCAATGTAGCGTCTTGAAAATTGTAGCAATTAGTTTGCTTTTGTTTGAGAAGCAATTACTAAGTGAGATAAGGTTCCGGATCAAGAACTTAAGTTATACCTCATTTATAGTGAATTTGACATTTATGCCAATCAGTTGGAGCAGTGGTTCGTGGTTATGGGTTTAGTTTAAAGTCCTTTTTTTTTGGGAAAATTGCTAAGCTGCAGGGATGGGGAAAGCAAGGTTGTGGTAGTTAAAGGATTAGGGTTTAGGTGCTGGCACTGAGGCAAGGGTGTGCTCCAGTCATATTAAGTTCTACCGTTGTGGGTTTTTAGTACTTGTTCCAGTTTCCAATATTATGTGGGTCGTATCCTTCCTAATCATTGTTATTGCCATTTTAATATACTGTACTTTGTTAGAGTAAAAAAATTTCTTGTTGTGAAACGCTAAACATAATGATTAGGAGGGAGCATATCCACAGCTCGGAGAAAGGATTGGAGTTGATTAGGTTGTATTGCCAACTCTGTTGAATGCAATTTGTATATCAAAATACGAAAATGAAGGAAAATAGGCTTCATGGTTGGGAAATTCCCATAGCAACTGTAATTGATGCTACATTGGTCGCCCAGTTTTCTACTTTCTGTTGGAGGATATTGTAATGAAGAAATAGAGGTTATGAGCTTTAAGTGCTTCCTCTCCAAAGAGTAGGCAGAACTTTTATTTATGTCATCTAAACTTGGTCAGAGAAAATATCTAATATTTTGGTGTTATTAGATGTATTTTAATTGGTTGGTCAAGTTAGATTATGCCTATGGAAGTTGAACCGAAGGCAGTCTCTAAGTCATGTGCACCTGCTACTCATAGGACATGCTTGAAGAAAATTGTTCTGAAAGGAAATCTTTTCAATTGGACGGTAGTGTAGAACAATCCAAAGCTGGTAGGTCAATGTTGACTGTGTTATGCCAAGTGCATTTTGGCAATAAAGGGGTACTTTACTGCTTCATTAAACATGTAGTATGGGTTTTCAAGTGTTGCAGAGGATTTAAGTACATATACGGATTTTGGTTGAATACTAATGTTGTGTTGGAGCAGATGCTGGTAGAACTGTTGTATTGTTTTATGTTCTTTTGGGGTCTTCTTGTTAAATATGTACACTGTTCTGTATCTTGGAGAAACTTAATAATTAATTGCCTACATCCTCTTTGTCTATAGGTGGGAACAGAAGCTTCAGACATCCCACTTTCCAGAGATGATTTTTGGGGAAAGTTCTTTGGTTCTTAAGCACGTGAATAGTGGCATTAAAATTCATTTTAATGCATTTGATGCTCTCCTTGGTTGGAAGCAGGAGTCATTACCACCAGTGGAAGTTCCTGCAGCTGCACAATGGAAATTTAGAAGGTAAGTATACACCATATCTCTATTACTGATTCCTTAATTAATCTTCCATTCACCTCTGTATAATTATGAACTGTAAGATTCTTTCCTTAAAGCTCTCAGATGGATGCATATAGTTAATAGAGATCCCTCAATTTACAAGGTTTGGGCTATTTTTGGTGCTAATTTAGACAAACCATCCATTTGTTATATCAATTTTGGCTGCCTTATCATTTAGTTAATGAGGAAAATAGTGAAGCTTCGGGTAGATTGACAGACTACTTTAGGTTAAAATTAAGATTTCGTAGAGTTGTTTCAGATTTGGTCATATGGCAGATCTACTACCAAGGCAATTTAGTTGATATTGATGGAGTGATATAGGAAAGAAGAAGGATCTTTGGCTGTTTATATTAATTTAGAATAAGAGAATAGTAGGATTGCGAGAAACGTGTATGAAAAGAATGCAAAATGGGAAATTGATATTGTTAAGGATATGTATGAGAGGATTATGTCCATACTGAGAACCAGTGCAAAAACTCAACAAATTCTTATTATAGTACAGTTGCATGAATGAATGTACAGCTTTAATTCCATATTAATATGTTTTATTTATGATGGATGAGGAATAAGAAGATGCAATATGAGGTGAGGTTCTATGCTATATATTCTTGCATTTGATATTCTTTTGGTAGATAAGAAGAATTAGTTATAAAGGAGAGTTGTGGATTAAGTATCTAGATATAAAATAGATCAAAATTAGTTGAAGTAAGCTCAAGTACATGAAGTGTTAATTTATTCAACGAAGAATTTCATGCAAAAGGACATGTAAGCATCAGAGTCAGAGGTAGAAGTTACCTAAAAAATGAATAATTTCGGTGCTTGTTCGTTTATTCATAAAGAAAGAGATACTGATAAGATCACATTTTAAGACATGTTCAACTCATGAGAAAACATCACAAAAAATGTCTTTAGTTTTTCTAATATCGAACATGTCAAAGAAATAGGGAAGTGGTCTGGGCACATAACTGACATATCTAAAACTCTACTATGATCAAATTTTGTTTTGAAAAACTGTTACTCGTTTTCTATAACGTAAATATACGACAAGTATATGATGTCAAGTTTTTAATATAAAGATTAAGTACGGATGTCAAACCCACATGGACTGAAATTCAATTTATAATAATTATGTAATCTCTATTTTATCTAGACAATCGAATTATGAAATCAATGGTTTTGAACTAATTGTGAATCTTGTGACGAATTCAACTAATGAATGCAACTTTTAAGAAATAAATCAATATAAGAAAGTCTAGGGTTATGATTTCACATAACTATCAACTATGTTTCTCAATTGTGTAATTATTTGTAATCAAATTTTCCAAGTTTATAAGCAAGAATCTTAATTTAGTTCTACTCACACGTCGAGTAAAAACTATTTCTAGAATTCAATTCCAACATCTCTATTCCGAATTTTAAGTTCTTGGTTCTTATGTAGAGCATGCGTAAAAAATTTATATTTTCTTTCGAAACCTATAAAATCTAAATTTTGTTATTCTAAGATTACACCTAAATTTCTTTCTCCAGTGTCGAAATCTAAAGTATAAAATCATTCGATCAGTGGCTAATTAATTGAAAACATGGAGAATAAACAACACAAATAAACATAATGAAAAATTTCAAAGAAATAACTAAATAAAAGTAAAACATAATCTCAAATTGATTACATCAAACCTTTAGTTCATGATAGATGAAAGAGGCATAATCAATTCAAAAATAATAATAAAAAAATGGAGAAGAAAGGAATTAAAAACTGGTTTGGAGCTTGAATTCTTCTTCTTCTTGTTGCCTCTTTACTTTTGATTGATCTCTTGCTTCTTGCCTTGTTGAATTCCTTTAAAGTAGTTTTTAGAGTTGTATTTATATTAACTTGAAGTCTTGGAAGAGTTGGGAATGAATTGGGCTTTAAAAGAAACCTAAATAAAATAAAACTCCTATGTCACCGAGTGGTGCCTCGGCGTCGCGATTTCTCTTTTCTCCCGAGATTGGGCGCTGGGGCGCTACTGCGGCACCTATTATCTGTAAAAAATAGCACTATGCATTTTTCATTATTTTTATCATAATGTATCCGATTGAGGCTATTTAAAATGCGTTAGAAAGATAGCTGAAAGAGCTACAACTTTACTAGAAATCGCTCTTTTTCAATTCGAACGTTTACTGTGTCAAAAACGGGTCTTAATCTCCGGTTAAAAATCTAGAACATATTTTTGCGGTTGAAAATTTATTTGTGAAAACATTTTGATCTTATTTTACACATTTTTGACTTTTAATTGCATCCGATTGACTCCTAACAATCGTCAATAATCGTTTAGTGGCCCTAACCAACTATTGAAGAGTTGTAATTGAGTCCTCAAACTTTGGATTTCACCTTTTTTTTTTGTCGTTATTCACTTCTTTCTTTCAATTTAGCGTCTAATAATCGAGTTTCATCAAATTAATGGCAACTTCTCCTAGATTAATGCTTACATCACTTTTCTCCGAGTTTTGCATTATTCACACCAATTCATCTAACCTATAAAATAACACGAAAACACAAATCAAAACGTTCTAAATTTCTCAAAAACAACTAAAATATCAAGTTTAAGTGGCATCAAAACAATGAGTGAAACTCATTCATCAGACACCTAGATTATACTATGAAAATCACTGCAGATCATGCAATACTAGATGAGATCTTAGATCTTTTTCATGTATTGTTCCATACTTCCTTGACAAGAGTTGTATGAACTTGCTTAGTCCTTATAATGGATGAATTCACCTCATGTTTTTTCATATGCTATAAGGCACATGGTGTGCTGTTCTATTCCCTCTTGAAATTGTAGAAATTTCATTAAGTAATTTATTATGTTCCTTATTTTTCTGTATGGAAGGGAGAGAGGCATGAATATCAAAATAATAGCTATATTGTGTCATCTTCTCTCTCCTGGTATTCCTCACTCTCATTCTTTTTATATCCTAAATTCTGCAGCAAACCTGACCGTCAGGTGATACTAGACTATGACTATACCTTTACAACTCCATACTGTGGAAGTGAAAGTATTGAGACGATTGATAAGGTGTGTGCTCTTTCTCTTATGCATCTGAGATGTACCCAAAGCTGAGAGGCTTCTCCATTCCAATATTCCTCGAGTGTTGTTATGAGTGATACGATGACACCAATTGGTCTTGTCTAGTCACAACTTTTTGTTTAGATTCCTTTTTTTCCTATGTTCTGCAATTGGCAACCCCTTGCAATTAGTGATAAGTCTCGTATACACTTTTATTACAAATAGTGAGAAACTTTGATTAACCATTTTCTCTGAATATAGAGGGTATTTACTTTGCTTTAGGTGCTGTTTATTATTAAATTCCTAAAATTATTCTTGATGTTACCTTCATTAGCCTGGAAGAGGAGCTTGTTGGGAAGTCTGCAAAGAGAAAATTGACATGGTGGCCTTGGCATCAAAAGAGCCTATTCTTTTCTATGATGAGGTTTGTGATAAAATAATAGGTGACATCTGGAGCTTTTTAGTAACACATCTTTAACTGTCTTTTCCCCCCTGCTCTATTTCTTTACAACGGCATGAATGTAAAATTTAACACCTTGACAGGTCATCTTGTATGAAGATGAATTAGCTGACAACGGTGTCTCACTCAGTTAAAGTGGTAAACACTGATCTTTGCTTTGATTAATGCCCCTTTTTTTCTGGATGGTCTAGATCTAATTATGTTTGTCACGATTTTGTAGAGAGTCATGCCCAGTGGCTGGTTTCTTCTCTTGTGTTTTTGGGTGAGTCTCTTATAAATAATAACTCCTCATAATAAGTTCTTTTGGTGAGTCAATATTATTCGCTGAAAGGTCGTTCAAAACTGAATTATTAAACTTGCACTTCTTTGTTCGGTTTCTTTCTGTTTTCTCTCTTGAATTTATCTTCAGTTAGAGGGTTTGTACTTTGAGAAAACATTCAGAATTTAACGATGGTTCCTTGAACCATTTTTGTCGCTGGGTATTTATAGTTAGATGTCTTCTTGTAGCTCAGAGTTGATGGGGTGCTCATGAGATTAAGGGACATTCGTATGCATTGCGTTTTTGAGGAGAGTTCCTTGCCCATTATTCCCCAAGAATGCTGCTGGAGAGAAGCCACATTTCAAGCCTTGTCATTGGTACGCATTTTCTCTGTCCCTCTCCCACCTCACCCCACCGATCGAGGAGAGAAAAGAAAGTACATGGGGAAATTCTTATACCGTTCTGATTAGCTATGTGATAATTATATTTTTCCAAGTTCATGTATTTGTTCATAAATCCTAGGGAGTTGAATGAGATTTCATATTTATTTGTGCGCCAAGGTAGCATATATATTTTTGGTCATATCCTGTGCGCGCTACCACCTAGTCAAAAATTTTGAGAGTTTTTCGGTTACATATAACAACCTGTTACTAACCAGCAAACTGGCCCCTTTTAAGGAGAACTGGTGACTCTGATTGGTTGAACTGGATTGAACCAGTTCACGAAATAGACACGATCATGCTGCTATGCATGTCATCCGGCTATTTATGCTAATATTCGTAAAACTACGACTTCACCTGTTATATAAGAAAACTACAATGATGAAGAAAAATATATCGACCATTTGTTAGTGACTGGTTGAAAAAGAAGGAAAAGTTATTGATGTGATGAAAAATATTATTTTATTGAAAAATGTGTGGTTGAAAATGAGTAGAAGAATGAGAATGAANTGAGCAGAAGAATGAGAATGAAAATTTAATGCGACTCAAACATGGGCTTAATATTCCAGTGACCATGTACAAAAACTAGAAAGGAACAAAAAAAAAATGATTGCTAGTTTTTAATATTAAGTAGCTATTTTATTAGTTTTTTTAATGCTAAACAGCTATAATAAAAATGAGTAGTGGATCTCATAAAATGTGTGAATAATAAGTGGACAATAGTTGTGAATGTGTGGTTAATATTAATATTTGACTTTGACTTGAAATTATAATGATTATTTAAAATAAATCTAATAACTAAAAAAGAAAAAGGTTCATAATTTATCTCTGGTGTTCAAACATGAAATTTCTGAACTTCGTGTGGTGGTTTTATCACTGACTTAGTGACCTGTTGCCTTGCTTGGGTAGAGTAGAGTCAAGTTGGATAGATATGTTATGAATAGTCAATCCTCTTCACAAGTTAACTTATTGGAAGTTGAAATAGGGCCTGGTTGGATGACAGTGCATTTAGTTCACATTCTCTACTTCCATCACCTTGGATGACAAATGTCTGTATCTTGGATAGTTTGAAGTAGGCATATCAAATTAATTCTTGATATATGATCTTTCTTTGTATTAAATCTTGTTTTCTTCTTCGAGAATGACTCATTTCTCTCAATAATCTGGTGCAGAAAGGATATCCTACTGATTCTGCTTCATATAATGATCCTGGTATGATCAGCCAAAGGCTCCCAATCATCTTGCACAAGACTCAAAAGCTTTCAATCACATAGATCATGTAAGCTTTAATAAATTCTTGATATTATTTATTTGAAGAAACCGATAACTCATCTTGTTGAAGAAAAGCTAAAAGAGTTGACTTATAATTGTGAGTATTGTTTTCATAATTGTAGAAACCTTAATTAATCTTTGCGGGGAAGGAAATAGGAAAAAAATTGTGTTCTTTATACTGTGAACCCTACAACCCCAGCTTGCAATTTCTTGTTCTTTCCTCTCATGTCCGATTGGTTACAATGTTGAGTAATCTCTGTTAATGAAAGCAAATTGCAGTGCCTTTAATGCGTATGAGTAAATATGTCAAGACTAAATTTAAATAAAAGAATGTGTACCATCTTTATCGGTTTAAACTTTTAGTTGGGGGTGAGTAAACATGGTGTCAAAGTAGGTGCTGAGGTTCTGAGTCCAAATCTCACTACCCTTCACTTAAAGAAAATGATGTATTGAAAGTAAGGTCTACACGTGAAGGGTGTATCTGTGCATATTCTTTTGATGATTACTAGATCAAGAACACGAAATTCCGACAACATTCTTGATGATGGATATTGCTCAGGAAGTGCTCACCACCAAATACCAGCACCGCCATTCACTCTCATTATGTTGCCGCACAACACCACAACTCCTATCAGCTCCCACTATGGCTCACCCCCTTCTTGTTGGCATCACCCTACTACCGATATCTGCTGTACACCTTTTTTACAACCTGTATCTACTGTGCACCTTCCCTCCCCATCTAAATTAAACCCAACATTTGGTTGTGGTTTAACTACAGTAAGTATCAGAGGTACAAATTGGTTAGCTGACCATCATCCCAAATCAGCTCATAAGACTATAGTTTGGATTCATAAGGGTATGTTCGACACACTGTGATATTGCGAATACATTTTTCGTGCTTAAACTTGAAAAAGAAATCGAAGACTGATATTGTCGTTACTTGTACCCAACTTCAATAAAATGATAGGCTACGTATATCATGCGATCCATCAACAACAATATCATTTTTTATTTTTATTTTTGGTTTTAATACATGGAGGAGGGGGGATGGGTAGGTGAGGATCGAACCTCCACCTCTTACTTGGAAACTTCCCCTGGTGCAATTAGACCCAAGTGGTATTGGCTACCAATAACATTATCGAGAGAAGCAGTACAAAATATTTCATAATATTGAAACTTGGACTTTTATTATTTAAACTGCCATCGTTAATGAAATACACTATAGTTATTTGCATAATGCTATTCTATTTCTAGCATTTGCTAGGTATCAAGGGCAAATCAACCTCGTCGCACCACTCAATACACCGCGTCTCATAATATGAACTATTTATGTCATTAGGCAAGTAGGTCAGCCATACTTGTGCTCCTAGTCTCCATTTCAACACGCTGCCCTCCATCTCCTTGTTCAATCTCCACCCAACACCCTCCTTATATTCCTCGCCCGAGAAAATCAAACCACCAGTTTTAGTGAACGCCCGGCTGCCTCCGGTGTAACGTTTTCGAAATTGAACGCCACCACCATTCGATGGCTTCCACGAGGCAATTTCGACTCCCGTGGTGTTGTCGCATAAAATTGCATCAAATGTAGCTGCATTTCCTTCCACATCTTGGTCCCACCTCCAATTTCTCATTTTTGTCCTTGATGCCATAGTTGCCATCGTCTTCACCGTTGGAACTTTTGATTTTCCGTAAGTACCCTTCAAACTCTTTTGCATTTCCACGTCTCTTTCCATTTTGTCAGTTGACCGGCCCAAGCTTAGCCCGCCCACATAGCTTGCACCCACTTCTGGCCCAACCCAAACCCGGACTCTTGATGGAAAATACTTCTCTTCCATCCAATCACCATCCTGATCATTTTTCTTAAATCCTAGTTTCACCACATGAAAGCGCAGGTTGTCGACACGTGCCTTCACTTGGATAAATCCGTCGCTGAATCCGACTGTATATTCCAATTGAATCACAGCCTCAAGCTGCTGGTGTGCTAGTGCATACTTCAGCACAGATTCTTTGGCTTCAATAATAGCTGGGAACTGATTTTTACGTCCATTTTTACTGCATTGCAACTGCATGGATTTCACCGGAGAGTAGCCTTTCAGAATCCAGAGCCCATGAGACTCCATGGCATATGAAAATCCAAGATTATGAGATGGCAATGGGGCCAAAGACTGTAATCCAACCTCAAAATCACTTGAAACCAACCATTTTGCTGCTATGTATCCAAAAGTACGCATGAAGCAAATTTCCACGTCGGTTCCTACAGTAACGAAGAAATTACGAAGAACAGGACCGGCTTTACGTGAGAAAGTTTCGAGGTTTGGAGCAAGCAATGAATGGAAATACAGGGAGCCAACCTCTGATGGTGCATCGCATGCACATAGCCAGAAAAGGTGGGCAAGGAAGATGAAGTTGAAGAAATTCGAGAAAGATTCCGGTGAGTGAGAGTCTAGAATCCATGAAACTGGCTCGGGTTTTAGCTTTCGGAGCTGTGAACGAGGGCAAGTGCTATCATGTGCGGTGGGGGAACGGGATACGATCTCTTGAAGGAGTTGGAGTATTAGAGGCAAGAATGGCTTGTCTGAAGCCAAGGGACAAATATCAGAAGCCCAGATGACTATCTCTCCTGCACTAGAAGAGTTAGACTCGAGAAAGCGTATAGAGAAAGTGAGGAACGATTCCGACTCAGATCCAAATTTTCGCTCTGCTCTGAGTTCAATAGTTTGCACTGAATTGTTCTTGAGTAGGGTAGGTTTGGAAGCTGCAAGTAGGAAAGTTTGAGGTGAGTTTGACTCACTCCACTCGTCCGAGTTGGGAAGTTCACATATCCATGACCATATATCCATATTTTCTTGGTGTAATGTCTCTCTCTCTCTTAAGGATTTTATTGTTTACGATTCTTGAATATGCAGAAGAGTGCTAGGATTTATAGAGAGAATGAGTGATGGTAAGGTTGCCAACTTGAAATAAGTTTTGTGGGTTCAAAGGAATCGAACTTTGTGGTTATGGATGAGACTTGTATGTACTATTCGATTCTGAGGTTTTGGTCATTGGATGCATTAATTGCTTAGATAATACCAACATTCAAGGCTTATTTTTCTTCGGGAATTAACGTATTTATTCCCCTTTTAATATATTTTGGAGCGTTTGAGAAAAATCACAAATTCAGGTCCCCCAGCTAATTTTTCTTATTGTCTCTCTTAATTTGTATGATGCAAATTTGCAAGAAATTAAGAACTTGTTTGTCTCCCATTATTGGGAGAAAATTGGTGTAATGAATAGTATTTTTTGGAAAATGTGTGGTTGAAAATTAAAGTAATTTTATTGGTTTGTGTGTAGAATATTTTATTTGGTGAATGTGTGGTGGAGAATCTTACTGTAGCAAACAATTTTTTAGATTAATGGTAGACAAACAGAGGCTAAGTACAGATGAATAGGGAAGTGGGGTTTTTCGGAATTGTGGACCAAATCGTTCAGAAGGTCCCTCTTCGATGTAGTTTGGAGGTATTGACATTTAAGACAACGGATTTATGGGATTTTTCGTAGTTTTGGACGAAAACATACACATCCCTATCTTCCATGGTTTTCTCGAGATTAAGTATTTGCTTGGCTCCTAATTATTTGATCGATAAATTTACCTTTGTGCATTTGGATTTAAAGAAAATGTTCGCATGTTTCGTGCAAAATTAAAAAAAAAAAAAAAAGGATGTCATTTTCCTTTCAATTTTATAATTGACGATGATGTGTGGAAATTTTACGTTAAATGAAGGAAACTCCCATCATGGTGACATTGTTGCATGAAGTTACAATAGCCGTTGATCAGTTTTGTTTAGGTTGGGTGATTGGTTCTGCTGTGCTAATGTGCTCGCGGCTTACGATGTTACACGTTCTACAAGACAATAATAAGTGATTAATGAACTCGTGAACCATTGACTCTACTTACCTATGATGCATCTTTAGCCGCTAATTTTTTTCTTCCAATAGTTAATTATTCTAACTTTTATTGAAAATGAAGCTTCTGTTTGGACCACATTATTTTTTTCATTCTCATTTTACTACTCATTTTCAACCACACATAATTCAATAAAATAATATTTTCAATAAAATCAATAATTTTTTCTTTTTATTCAACCACANAAAATAATATTTTTCATCACATCAATAATTTTTCCTTCTTTTTCAACCACATATTCTCCAGCACATCACTTCAAAAAAATGCATTCTCTCATTTTAATGTGTACCAAACGGGCTCAAAGTGTTGCTCTTCATAATAATTTCCAGAGTCAAATTATTTAAGTCGAGCATGCATGAAAGTGTTTTTAAGTGTTTATAAGTTGTAGGTTCTGTGAAATATGTAAATAATAGATGTGTATTACGTTATGAATTCTATGAAATGTGTTGATAAAAAATAAGTTGGATTGTGGCTCGATGCTTGGCTTAATGTTAAAATGACTCAAGAACAGAATTATATTGAAGAATTGCTCCAAGGTTCTTTCGGGTCTATAGTTGTATCGACTTTGCGAACATGCAACCTTGGGTCTCGCGATGCATAAGATTAGAATGATAGATCAATATACTTGTTTGGATAAAATGACAATGAAAATGAGTAGCTTGTTTAACGAAATGTGTTCATGATTAGTGAATGGTAATTGTTAAAGCAATGTTTCACTTTGATTTCAAACTATACTGAGATTATAATTTTATTTAAATTAGGAAATTACTTTTTTAACATCAATAATAATTTTAATACGATATGCAAAATTGTGGTGTTTAGAAAAAAAAAAAAAAAGATAAAAAAATTTAAAGTCACAAAAAATTTAAAAAAGATGTTTATCTCTTCTTTTCCTTTTTTCTTTATCATGAGAATAAACAACAAAACTAAGTAAAACTAAATAAATAAATAAAAACTATGTACATGTACTAGCAAAGACTACTCCTGTCAGATCTGCCAAATTAAAAAAAAAATGGAGAGGGAGGGGTCGAGGGGAGGTTCAATCTTCTTGAATTAAAAAAAGGTAATAATATACTTAGAATTGTCAGATAACGAATAGAAAAATGTGAAATTTTCAAAAAAAAAAAATAAAAAAAATTTAGCATACATTACTCTTTTGTTTGCAGAGTGATCCACCCAACTATTCCATTATCTTACCCTGCAAAATCTCAATATTGAGTATCGAACTTAAGAAACAACAATCGTCAACTATTGCTCTATTAGGTTTTGCGTAATCTCAGCATCTTTTAAAAAAAGTTATAGCCTCGAACATGTTTCAATCACTGCATTTCTCAAACTTCTGTCCCTAACAAATTAATTACAGAGTTTTGAATTTCTAAATTTATTCTCGTAATTTAGCAATCTTCATGGCATGTTTCAAACTCTCTTTCAACCATATATAAAAGAAAATATGCATGTATAACGTGTCGGTGGTATCCACTGGTAATGTGTTTTAGGCTGCGCCATGCAACGCAGTACCGATCAATTTTCAATTGCTTTGGAAATAGTGAATGCAGATTCATACTTACATGGCTATGTTTCACAGGTTGCCTTTCTTTTTAGCACAGAAAGTGACACCGTGCGGCAGTAGTCTGTTCCGCTAGACTGCCTTTCGCCTTTTCTCGGTCGTTTCGAGATGAAAGTAAAATTGATCACAATTTGAAGAAAGTTTACAACATGAAATTGAAATGCATTTAAATAAACTTGATCATTGATTGCTTGAGCTGAATATTACAATAGACGAAAGCAGGAAATTATAATGGCTAGTGCTGGGGGCGAACACTAAAAAGCTTGAAAGATGTTTGAAATACTAATACCCCCTATAATAGACTTAACAACAAAAACCCGAATGACGGGAGTAGACGTTAAAAAGTCGAGGAATCATACTAAACTTTTCTAATTTCCAACTATTTTACAATTAAATGAAATATTTACAATGTGCAG